TAATTGTGCCAACCATTGTCAGCTTTCTTTTGAGAAGTTCCTGTCCCAGGCTGTATGTAGTGAAAAAATTATCACAAGTGATGTTGTGCCCACTGATGCCCTGTGTCAAATCAAGAACAACCCGTGTCCCCTGGTTTTTCTCAGGGGCTCCTCCCTCTGGCTTCCCTGTATAAATTTGCATGTTCCATGCATAATATGATGTCGCATCACAGGCAGTCCATATTTTTATTCCATACCTTGCCGGTTTGGAGGGCATATACTTACAAGTCTGTAAGTCTACAATCCATTTCCAGCTACACCTAGCTGATTTATTCCCAAGGTCATTCTGTTTGTTTGTTTGGGATTTAAGTCTGGATAACACTGACTTAGAACCGCTCCAGCCTGGCCAACACATGACCAAATAGGCTATTGCTAAAAATCTTCAAAACACCCAAACATTATGAACTTCAACTACTGTAGATGTTGCTGCTGCAGCTGGATGGTCTTTCTTTTTTGTGCATCTTATGGTGTTACCAGACAACTGACAGTGTGTAGTGGTAGTAGCAAGGTGGCAGGAAATAAGAGGAGAGAAGATAGGTTCCTGGCTGAACAAGAAACAGGGATTTTGTGGTTAATGGTGGACACCTTGACCCCTAAACCAGCAGGATACCTCACATGGTCTGACTCAAGCCTTCATTCAGTGGTAAGAATTTTTTTGAAACACGCACTATGCTTTTCAAGGTTGAAAATCATATGCAGTGACCACTGATGACTCATTGTGTTAGTTAATCTGTTCAGGTGTAAGGAGGGTTTGTGCTGATGTTATGAGTGAAGCAGAAATTCTTAACTGTTTATAACTTGTTTCTCACTAAGTCACAAGCCTGCTCATGTGTTTTTGGGATAACCCACAGCCTTCTTGGCTACCAGCACTCCTGTCATATGATATTCTACTCTGTGCTCATTAAATAACACTGTCAGCAGAGGTTTTCCTTCCCCCAGTCTCTGCCTGTCACTTATAGCCAGTCCCACCATCCTATCATTGTAATGGCAATATGGATTATTTGCATGTGCAACTCAAGCATCACACACACAGGGGGCCCTGCAGCCCAGACCACCCGTTGTTCAGTGTTCATCGATCAAGCTGCCACCTGATAAGCACACACACACTCACACCTGATTTAGATCACATTTCAGCAAGCAGACGCAGGCAGGGGTTGACCTGCTCACGCCAGATGGCCAAAAGGATTACGAAGTGTGAAATGTTGTACCACTGTCCAGGGCAGGCCTAAACTCATTGTTCAGAGAACGGATTTCCTATGGGAGCTCTGTCTCTCTGATCCCAGCGCTGTAAGACTTCACCTGTGCCCAGACTTTGAGTAAACCTCCTGTTGATTTTAAACAGTTCTCTTCTGTCTTTACTTCTCGTGCTTTCAATAAACTTGGGTAAAATCTAATAGTAAAGAGATGACATTCAAACACTCATCACTAAAGATATCAGCAGAGGAAAATAAAAGAAAACTGACAAACTTCGCGTGTGCAACAAGACCGATCAGGTGTTAATATTAACATTACCTGGGCACGTGCTTTGCATTATAAGAAACCAACACAACTTTGTGTCCCTCCAATAGAGTGTTCTCGTTTATCTTCATGGTGCCAAACCAGACACAAACACCATTACGACCGATTATTATAATAAACTAAATTCATCCCTTGTACATCCCATTAATATATTATAACAGCTTGATACCGAATCGCATGATGGAAACCATTCTGCCCACGGATGTATTAAGGGGAAACGGTAGATTTTTCAATGTCTGTATTATGAGAATGCCATAACGTTAATACATTCAATTATTCTATTTAGAATGAAAGTAAAAATTACATGCAATTACAAACACACCTTTCATCTAGACACGCTTTTATTAGGACATGAAAATCGCCTCAAGGCGTTTTACAACCGAACACATTTATTAGCACTTTTATTCTATTTCTGAATCTGTGTGTATGTACATGCACATGTGTGTTTGTGGATCTGTTCATGTTTGGTTGCTTAAATATATCTGCCCAATCCGTGCCACAGCTTCACCGACTCCTGTGGAGATTTGACCATGTCCATCCAGTGATGAAGCTGAGGGCCTCTGGTGTACATGAAGGGCCCTAACACCAGCACTCCCAGTCAGACTGGAGGCTCTGGGAGAAAGATATATGAATGTCACTGTGTCAGTGTTTTGTATCTTATTTGCAGCAATATTAGTGTCCTGTCCCCCCTTGAAGGTGAAGTTTATTTTATTTTCTATATAGCGGCAGATCACAACACAGAAAAAAGCATGAAGTCGTACCAAAGTCAGTGGCATTAACCACCAAGCTATGGATTTCAGCATTTTCAGGGCAATTCTTCAGCAATCAGCATCCACACACATTTTCTTCAGGAAATGCATTTGTCTAGTTATTATTATTATTTCATTTACTCTGTATTTAGATTAATTAGTAAACACACATAAAATTCATGTCTGCTTTCCTGGTTTCTTTCTCTCATGAACAATTAGTTCCCTGTTTCAACAAGAACTCCTCATTCAAGCTCAATATTGATAATTTAATTGATAAATTACGAATAATTAATTACACATAACAATTATATTAATTCTGGTCAGTCTGTCAAAAGAGACCTGGTGGTCCAAGGTAATTGTGCTATTGACTAGACTGACTTGAGACAAATCCACTACAAGACTACAGCTCAGGCACAACACAGCAGAAAAAAAGCTTGAAAAAAGTCAGAGCTAATCTCTGCCAGAAAGGTATAGAATCATTCCTGATTTGTACTACAACAATAAGGATCATATGCTGAGAAGCTGTTATTCCACTCCAATGACAAAATAACGCACTACCTGGCAGGGCCCATGCTAGGGGCAACCACAGCAACCTCAGACAAGGGCCTGAGAACCTCACTGTGCTTTCACAAAATGAAAATATGAGGTGGGACAAGACCCTGTAGGCTAGGTGGTGGATAGCCAAGGTCTCTGAACTGCAAGTGGCATTGCTTTGATTGTTCACCCAGGTCCATTTTGTGACAAATTATCATTTTCATGTTCCTTTTTCATACGTTACCATCAACAAATCGGTGATGTAAACATGCTTTTATTATAAGAGCTGTTACTATTGAGAACTTCTAATGTAACCTCAAACCAGTCCTGGAAGCCTGAATTAGGTTTATCTGGATCCCTGTTTGTTCAGGAGATGGGGCTGAAATACAACAAGCTTTTTCACAGTTTGTATCTCTCATCCCTGTGCAAAGATGAACAAGAGAAATTAGAGGCCCCATTCACGTTAGATGGACTGCTAAATGCACAAAATTTAAATTATATGCAAACGTGTTGGTCACAAGGCTAGAAATGATAACAGGCAAACTAATTAAGCTAACTAGCTTCAGACAATATACAGTGGTGTGAAAAAGTGTTTGCCCCCTTACTGATTTCTTATCTTTTTGCATGTTTGTCACACTGTAATGTTTCAGATCGTCAAACAAATTTATATATTAGTCAAAGATAACACAAGTAAACACATCATGCAGTTTTTAAATGAAGGTTTTTATTATTAAGGGAAAACAAAATCCAAAACTATATAGCCCTGTGTGAAAAAGTGTTTGCCCCCTAAACCTAATAACTGGTTGGGCCACCCTTAGCAGCAACAACTGCAATCAAGCATTTTCGATAACTTGCCATGAGTCTTTTACAGCGCTGTGGAGGAATTTTGGCCCACTCATCTTGGCAGAATGGTTGTAAGTCAGCCACATTGGAGCGTTTTCGGGCATGAACTGCCTTTTTAAGGTCATGCCACAGCATCTCAATTGGATTCAGGTCATGACGTTGACTAGGCCACTCCAGTCTTCATTTTGTTTTTCTTCAGCCATTCAGAAGTGGACTTGCTGGTGTGCTTTGCATCATTGTCCTGCTGCAGAACCCAAGTTCGCTTCAGCTTGAGGTCACAAACGAATGGCCGGACATTCTCCTTCAGGATATTTTGGTACACAGCAGAATTCAGGGTTCCATTTATCACAGCAAGTCTTCCAGGGCCTGAAGCAGCAAAACAGCCCCAGACCATCACACTACCACCACCATATTTTACTGTTGGTATGATGTTCTTTTTCTGAAATGCGGTGTTACTTTTACGCCACACATAATGGGACACACACCTTCCAAAAAGTTCAACTTTTGTCTCGTCTGTCCACAGAGTATTATCCCAAAAGTCTTGGGGATCATCAAGATGTTTTCTGGCAAAACTGAGACGAGCCTTTATGTTCTTTTTGCTCAGCAGTGGTTTTTGTCTTGGAACTCTGCCATGCAAACCATTTTTGCCCAGTCTCTTTCTTATGGTGGAGTCATGAACACTCACCTTAACTGAGGCAAGTGAGGCCTGCAGTTCTTTGGATGTTGTTGTGGGGTCTTTTGTGACCTCTTGGATGAGTTGTCGCTGTGCTCTTGGGGTAATTTTGGTCGGCCGGCCACTCCTGGGAAGGTTCTCCACTGTTCCATGTTTTCGCCATTTGTGGATAATGGCTCTCACTGTGGTTCGCTGCCGTCCCAAAGCTTTAGAAATGGCTTTATAACCTTTTCCGGACTGATAGAGCTCCATTATTCTCTTTCTCATTTGTTTTTGAATTTCTTTGGATCTCGGCATGATGTCTAGCTTTTGAGGATCTTTTGGTCTACTTCACTTTGTCAGGCAGGTCCTATTTAAGTGATTTCTTGATTGCGAACAGGTGTGGCAAGAGAAATTGAACTCAGGTGCGATAAACCAGTGTTTTGACAGGGGGGCAAACACTTGTTCACACAGGGCTCTATAGTTTTGGATTTTGTTTTCCCTTAATAATAAAAACCTTCATTTAAAAACTGCATGATGTGTTTACTTGTGTTATCTTTGACTAATATATAAATTTGTTTGACGATCTGAAACATTACAGTGTGACAAACATGCAAAAAGATAAGAAATCAGTAAGGGGGCAAACACTTTTTCACACCACTGTATGGAGAGTGCTGCACATAACTTGCTTAACTGAAGAAAATCCCTCCAAACAGTGGCTTTCTATTTTTGTATACTGAAAAAGCCATTAATAGTCTACAGTGGAAACATCCCTGACAGACACTTTCAGAATTTAATTTTGGCCTTAAATTTATACAAATGGTACAAGTCCTATACCATAGTTTACTGGCCTGAATTAATTTCAGAGGCCTTCAGAATATTTAGGGTCTCACACTAAGGGTGCCCGATCTTGCCATTTCTGTTTAATCTGTCAGTGGAACCACTTGCCCAGCTAATTTGAAACAGCCCATACTGGGATATACCATACATTCAATATCAATGTATGCAAACAGCACCTTGTTGTTATCAAATGTGGAATAGTCCCTTCCTAACACAATACAGATCTTAGAATATTTTGGGAGGCTGTCAGACTTTAAAATGAATTACTCCAAGTCTGTATTGATGCTAATAAATGCAACCAGCAATAAGAGAGACATCCCCTTGCAACATCCCGGTCTTAGACTAGGTGACCTTCTTAAGGATCCAGATCAGGACCACACTAGTGGCAATGGCAAAAATGAACTATTTTAACATGATGAAAAAGGTGGAAAGTGATATTACTATGAGGAAAGTGTTTCCGTCCTCAATACTGGCCTGAATCTCAGTGATAAAGATGAATATTCTACCTTATATAAATTTTACAGTTTCCATGGTACCACTGCCCCCTACCAAATACTGGTCTAAGTTAGATACTATGTTGAGGTCATATGAATGGAATGGGGATAAAAAGCAAGAATTAAGTGGTAAGTCTTACAACAAAGTAATGGGTGGGCCTGTCCAAACTTCAAATTGTACCATTGGGCATTTACCCTGTGGTCAGTGGTTTCAGGAAGGACAGAGCCCAGTGTGGGTACAAATAAGCCCCTTTTCCACCACTTGGTACCAGCTAAACTCAACTTGACTCTACTCACCTTGTTTGTTTTTCCAAATGTTAGGGATAGTTAACTGCTACCTAGTACTATTTTTGCTAAGGCCTCCTTTGAGGTTCTAAGTGAGCTGAAGTGATACCAAACAGTGATGTGTAAACACTGCAGACTACCATATGGCCAGAGAAATGCATCATTACCATGCGGTGATCTTGCCACTGATGAACCTGAATGTTTACATGTGGTGATGCTAGTTGCTTGTTCTTTATTCATTCATAATAGTAGCTTCCACAAGTGTTATAGACGTGAACCATAACATATACATCTTATTACATAGCCCATAGATTACTGAATGTGATAATATAAGACCAGTGGCTGCAGCCATGCCTGCTAAGTAGAGCTGGCTAGCTGGCACATTAACAGGTCATCACATTGAAAACCAGTGGAGCAAATATGTAATTAACATTACTTGGATAGATTCACCACATATTTGAAAACTAGATGGTTAATTTCTCACCTCACTATCAAAACTTAATAAAATGGCATAATAGTCCTAGGATGAAAATAATAACAACTTTGAGCCTGCCCTGTCACTACCCAGGGCCAGTGACTTCACAGCAGTTTTGGTGTGACTGTGACAACAAACTGCACTGCAGGAGGGGACTATCTGCAGTGTTAAACAAAGCACCTGGTACCAAAAGTGCATACAGTTGTATAAGGAAGAGTCGAGTTGAGTGGTGGACAAGGGGTTTTAGAGGAAGACCTGGTGATGTCAATAAGACTGAAAGATTTTTTTTATTTTCTCGCATTTCTCAAAGGAAAAGCTCCCTGAAATATGGGCCTATGGTGACATACCCATTCCAAATCTGCAAGGCAGTTGAAAGACATGTAGGATATAATACCAAATCACAGGTCCTCTCCAATTTGGAGAAATTTCAATTTAATCTCAGGTGGCAAACCCTTTATCCAGAATGACTGAGTAGAGAAAGGAATTAGGGTCCTGGTTGACCTCAACATTCAACAGGAAGGATGCCTTGGTCACCTTTGAAGACTGTCTGGCAAGGATTGGTACTGATAAATGCACACTGTTCATGTATTTAGACTCAAATCTGCCTTATACACCCTTGAAAGTTGAGTGGGGTGATAAATTTCTTGATCGCCCACTGGTCATGTGGACTCAGGAAACACAAAAACATACTGTATTTTTTATGTACAACAAACACTTATCTATGTCCAGCCTCAACAGGAAGATAAATTGGGACAAGGTTTGGTCAAATTGCATAATAGCCTCATAACCCCAATCACCAATTTATTCATTTTAAGTTCTGTCATGGGGTGATTGTGACACCACTGCAGAGATACTGGATGGATCTGAGTCCCAGCCCAGACTGTACATTTTGTTCTCCAGGCAGTCTAGGCACCTTGGTGCACATGGTATGGGACTATCCAAATGTACAATGGTTTTGGCAGGAAACAACACAAGCTATCTCTACCCTGACAAAGGTGAATTTCCTGATGGACCCAGCACGTCATCTCCTTAATGACTCTTCTGAACCTCTGCTTCCAAAAGCAACTCTTAAAGTATGGCTAACCAGTCTGCCAGCAGCCAAAAAACTTGTTGCTCAAACCTGAATTCTTCCACACAATTTGACAGCACAGTCATGGCATAATACATTATTGGAGATTGTATATTAGGAACTTTCAGCTGCTAGAGTAAATGCTGTTGAGCTGTGGATGGACATCATGAGCCCAGTAAAAGACTCATCATTGCAATCTCATGGACCCTCCTGACTGGGCTCTTCTTTTTTAAATTGTTTTACCTCTGATTTGTCAATCCACATGTAGGAAGGGGTGGGAAGTGAAATTAAAGCTTTCTGAGGGCAGAAAGCACAAATAGGCTATGCTAAAATCATAAGAATAATACTTGTAAAGAAGTCCACATGTTTGAATAACATATAGAAATGGTTGTTATAAGAGAACAACATTTACAGTGTTGATACTGCATTTTGACTCTGTAGGGACATCCAAAGGCAGAAAGCAGTAGCTGCATGTCTGCTATCATACTGTAGGTCAGATCAGTGGTCATGGTACTTATACATCAAAAAAAAATTTCCTACAAAGAAATTTTATGAATGCATTGTCACTTAACTAACACCACATATTTGGCTGGACAGTCCAAAAATTTTAAATGCGTTTTTCTCAGCTTCACTGTTTGCATAGTTACTGCACTTTGTAGAGTAGCATAAACCCCCACTGTTGTGCAACCACATCTATGCACAGTTTACTCTTTCTTATTTCAAAGAAATAAAAAAGTGAAAAGTGAAGTGACAAAGTGATGGCCATTCTGGATGGATTACCTCATGATTTTGTGAGGAAGAAACATCACCCAGTGCAGTGGTGTGGCTCACTGGTGTGCTTTTAGTAGTTTTTGAACAACAATGGAGGTCTACAGCAGAGACAAATAAGATAAACCAGGTTGTGGATTCACAGACACTGCAGTAAGTACACAACACTTATTGATGGTTTTAGTCTCTGTATGGGATTGGTGGAAAATAACAACAACAAAAAAAATAAAAAAAAACAATATCACCGACCTTATCATGGCAAGGCACGATAGGCTAAAGCACAAAGCAAGAGATCAATGAAGTATGACACAGCATGAATCAGAGGGTGCACAATTCATTAGGTTTTTCAGAGAAAATGGGATTGGGTGACTGCCTCTCCCCACTGGTGGACTAGATGATAGACTGGTACAGGCTTATAGAGGGCAGCCTCAAGCAGATGGGCCTTTTGTTCGGGCACGGGCTTAATCACTATGCTAGCTCACACAGAAGCCCCTCTTTCTGGGCACGTTGACTTTGAGATGACAGGTTCAAAAATGGCAGGGAAAAACATTTGACCACCTACAGCTTGAAAACTCCAGGGGACACGAGTGCTCATCCATTGGAAAGTTATGCAGCTTAAGGTAACACTCCGCATTAATAGTCAACCTAACAAAAACAGAATTGTGACAGAGAAAAGGCATGTCTCAGCATTGGTTTTTCCCTCCCAAGTGTGACTGAACATAGTTAAGGTACTTAATGTTCTCCTTGTAATTATACCAACAAATACAGAAAAAATAATTGTGCTTTGACAAACAGGGATCACTTAAAAGAGAACTACATGACAAAAATACAGATACACACAGCAAAAGCAGCAAAGTTTTTTGAAGAACTGATAGTTCAACATTTAAAACAACTATCAAAAAGGTGAGAAACTGGCTGAATAACTGTCTTACCGTAGTGTGTACATGACTCTCCCATTGCTCCACAGCCTCAACAGCCGGTTGGGAGTAGTGATCCAGTGAGCATCTGATTTACGGGAATTTCTGAAGAATGTGTCAGGAATCCAGATTTTGCCTACCATGTTACTATTGAGCATTAGCAGCTTCATTGAACTGTTGAACTTCAGGCGGCTGTCATACCACGTCTGGGCAAAGAATATGTCAATGGTGTATTCCTGCAATGTGGTAACAAAACCAATGCAAATACAGCCAGTTAAAAAAAGGAACATGACTATAGAAGAAGACATCTAAACAGTTACTTTAAGAATTTCAAAGAGCCAATAAAAGATTCCTTAGAGCCGACTATCTGAAGGATTGCCATCCTCTCAGAATGTACAATAATCATTTTTCCAACAATATTTTTTCACACAAACATACAGCGTATAAATACATACATAATGTACATTTAACCTTTAGAAAACAAAACATTATGGATTCACCAATATTACCAATTAAGACAGCAATAACAATAAAAACAAATAAATAGAAATAAGGCAGAGGGCAGAGGATCTGTCAGTGTTGTGGAAATAAAAGGGATTCCAGTCACCTTCTACTTCTGCTGAAACTGCATGAATCACAGCAAATATTAACTGGTCAAATCAGCTGATCACAGCTGAACGGGACCAGGTTAACTTACAAGTGGAGTCAGTGGTATGTAAAACATGTAATCCATTATTCTGTGTGACTTTACCATAAAGGTCTTTTCTCATACCAGCAGCAGAACTGCCACACAGAGAGCAAGGAGTCTGCATATGCTTGATAGCGCACATTGGTGAGAGAGAAGGAGCAAATATCTCAAATCAAGGTGCTACTACTAGCTTTTTTCAGTGCCTTCAATTACATCTAACTCTTCAGAGGACAGAGGTTGAAAGAATTTTGTATCTTGTGCTAAAGTATCTATAATAACAATAAAGCTGATTTCAGAGGAACTTGTACACCGAATTACTGCATGGATCACCATTTTCTATAGAGATGCATGGCCTGCAATTTATTTTGGCCTTATTTCCGATTTTTTTAAAAGTCTGACCTGCGGATTCCAAATTCAGCCAATTCAGATTTTTTTTTCTTTTTAAGAACTGTAATTGACAATGTGCACAGACAATTTTGTAGCTTTAATGAAAAATTTAATTGTAATAAAAATATAACATTGTATAACAAATATAACAAAGTTGTACATTTCTGTCTTTATCTCACTTTTTTAAACAAATCTCCAACTAAAAATGAAGTACAATATTTGTGCTTCTCCAAATATAAACAAGGCACAACAGGTAATAGAAAGAGAAGGATGTCTGTTACTTCAGTCCTACTAAGTACATGGTTCTTTGTGAAGTGTGTGTAGTTTTTATTTGCTGTATTTGTGAAGTGTGTGTAGTTTTCATTTGCTGTTTTACTACGAGTTGGATACACTGAACATACTGAGCATTTCATGCATTGCCAGTAATTCCCTCATTGTGCACTATTTGTCAGAGATTTTGATATAGTTTCTCTTCTCCGAGGTCTTTCTGTAGGCTCCCCTGTGCACTTTTTTTACACCAAGCACTTCTAATGCACCAGTTCACGCACAAGGCGAGCCCCTGCTAGAGGTGCACATGAGATGCTACGTGCTGTAAGTGGTTACTGGTTTTACAGTACACCATCCAACAGGTAGTATTACTGTTTCAAATTTTAATTAGCATTAAAACCGTAATTGTCAGTTGCTTTGAAAATTCTGTCAATGAAGGTTTAATTAATAATCATCATCAGCCAAAGTCAAGGTCAGCCAGACACAGATGCAGCATTCAACTTGTGTCTGTTTTGTATCAAGTAAAAACACAGCAGAATGCAGTGACAGCACCCTACAGATTAGTCAGCATTCTTAAGGACCATTGCTAGAGGTCTGAGGATAACCTGATTGAAGATGGTCATGCAGAAAGAAAATTGCTGTGAGAGGCTGAAACGATTCATAGTGAATGCAACGTTAACTTTTAGCTCTGTGCATAATATGGGGGCTTCAGAATTGGGGACGTGTCAAAGTTTGTGTGTCTAACTTGCCAATAGCTTGTCATCAATGTAAATTGATGCTTTCAGTGTTGCCCACTCTTGTAAAACCCCAGGCTGTTCTGCTGCTCTATGTGCTGTGTCTGCAGACTACACTACTTAGTTTAGTTACCCAAAACATATTGTAGTGACCCCTGGAGGAACAGTCACTCGACTCTGAAATGGTGCTGTTGGTACAAAGACTGTTAACAGGGTGAGTTCAGCTACTCATTTAATAGTGCTCATGATATTGCAGTTATACTGTGTGTTATGTAGTTACTGTTACGATGCGAGGATGCGTGCGGCTGAGGCCTGGACCAAATTAGCTGGGCATGGGCCACTAATAGTGTGACTCCTGTGGGCATTAATGGGCCATTGTTCATGTATGTGTGTTGTTACAAGTCAGCTTCCTGGGGTCATACAGTGTAAGGGGCACAGGAGTGGCGCACAAAAGGCAGATTTCTGTTTCTGGCTTTTTTTTATAACCCTAAGTCTAAGCTCACCATACTGGTCAGAAATAGTATAGAGTGTTGAGAATGGAGAGACAGATCCAGGAGCTGGAGCAAGCTGTTCATTCCAACTGCTGGAAACTGGAGAGCCTGACAAGGGACAGAAAGAATCCAACCAGTGATGGAAGGTCTCCAGCCCATGCTGGTGGCTCCAGTGCACTGCATCTCCAGCCACCCACAGCTGCCTTCCTGGCTGCTGAGAACCCTCTGCTGCCTTCCACTGGGACTGAAACTCTGCAGCCCATCATTGCCTTGCCTGGCTGCAGGCCACTAGCTACCCCAAAGACACCAGCCCAGCTGCCTAAGTACAATGGACTAACACCGATACAGCCATTACCTCTCACAAGTTCAGCTGGAAGAGGCTGCTAGGTGGCTAGGGCAGTGAAGAAGCAGTCATCCATCTGGCTCTGGCATTGGAAGGAGAGGCATTACAGATGCTTCTTGACCTTATTAGTGCAGAGCAGCTAGACCTCAAAATGGGGTTAGGTATCGTTTCAATTTTAACTTTTCTGATTCTGCTTAACTAACCCAGTTCTTATAAGTTCCAATTCCAATATTTTTGGAGGGGGGCAATCAAACAGACCAACAAATATTTCAAGAACAAAATGAGTCTTCTTTTATTCTTGGAATATGCAGTAAACTGTCAAATGTGACAGTTATCCCAGGTACTGCCAGCCTACTACCTTAAGCCCGGTCACCAACTGATATCCAGTTGATGACAGTGACCGGGGAAAAACTGGCATGAGAGGGAAGAAACCACTGTGAATCAAGATGGGCAACCAGGTACTAGTGTACTAGTTCTGGCTTGCCAATATCAGGGACCCCTGCATCATCAGTCTGGACCTCCTGACCCACATGTTGAGGTGAGCCATCACCCTTGGCATAGAGACACTGGCACTCCAGTTTGGTCAGGTGAAGAACAAGTGCCACAGGAGCCACCGTGCTGGACACCAAGCAGTGACAGGGGATCAGCATGGCAATGCCAACACACTCTCCCAGTGTCCTTGTGCAGCTGAGGAGTGCAGGTATCCCCAGCGGGGCATAGCGCTGATGATGTCAGCCATGCAGATGACCAGAGATGGGAAGGGCTGGCTGCTGTTGACCACACAGCAGCTGAGACCATGACAGCAGGCTGATGTGACCCTGGTACAAGTGAGAGGCTGGCTGGAGGCCAATCAGCACCTAGAATGGACACTGGTGGCAGCACAAGGGTCTGAGGTGAAAGCTTATCACTCTCAGTGGGGTAACTCTGAGCTCCACCACAGCATTATCTACTGGAGGTAGCATGCTCCTGGCTAAGGGGACAATCTTTTGCAGCTGTTGGTTCCCTTGCTCTCTGTTCCCAGGTTCTTCATATGGTTCACTGCTCAGTCAGGGTGGAGCACTACAGAAACAGCCAGATCCTTCAGGGCCTCCAGCAGTGATTCTACTGGCCTGGCTGCAGATGAGATGTGAAGCTACATGTTCACTGCTGTGGCTCCTGTAAAGCTCAGAAGCGACTGAGAGCGTGTCTCCAGTTGGTTCACAGTTTTACCAACCAGGCACAGGCAGCAAAAGAGAGCTTATGACACTGTTGTGTTCTGGACAGGCATTTACGCCAGGGAGCAAGGTGCTGATGTACTGTCCCATTTGCATGAAAGGGGTGTCCCCAAAGCTCTGCAGCCACTGGTGGGGATCTGGCTAAGTCATGGCCCAACTGTCTGAGGTGGTGTACCAGGTGCTGCACCAGGACAGACTCTCACCATATTGTGTCCTCACTCTGTCTGATGAGGAGGAGGGGAGCAGCAGCACCACCCCTGTAGCACTGACTAAGGGCACTGGCAGGCTATTTCTTATAACCCTAAGCACGCCACAATATTTTATTCATTTGAGTCTGACAGTTGTCTTATTCAGTGGTTCCCAACCTGGGGGTCTGGACAAAAAAACAACTAAATTTAAGGGTCATTTTATAAAAATAAAAAAATAAGGAGATGAAATCCAGATTTTCAGATGTTAAAGAATATGTCACAAAAGAGGAATGTGATAGAGCTGTTTCTTCTTCTTCAAAAAAAAGAGGATGTGGAATACCTCCAAGCTAAAGCTGAAAAAACTTAGAAAAATCAACTGGACTAGGTTTTAGCTCGAAGACGTTTCACCTCTCATCCCAGAGGCTTCATCAGTTCTGCCCGACTGGCGTTGAGGCGTTGAGTTGGAGATATTTATCCCCATCGGTGGTGTTTCAGTCCTGGTGTTGATTTTTCAATGTTTTTTCAGCTTACTATGACCTGGATGACTGAGAATCTGCACCTCCAAGCTAAAGCTAAGCTCTTAGATATCAAGTCAAATTCTCTCCTCATGAGATTCTACACTGAACATGGATACAGGCAGTTTTGGCTAGTGAAAGGACCAGACATTATTCCAAGACTACAAGACTAAATATTGCAGTATACACAGGAAATAACCTGTTCAAACTTAAAAAAAAATGTATGCATGCACAAATTTGCTGCAGGTATTAAGTTCCCTGTTAGGGTTCATTGTACAGTGTTTAATGGATCTGTATTGGTATATAAGTTGGATAAATTATGAAATATCTATAAAAGAAATTTGAAAAGAAGTACTGTTTTTCAGTTTGTAACTGTGTGCGTGTTGTTGAGGGGGTGGGGTCATCAGTGTACTCAATGATAAAACAGGGGTGTCTTTAGAAAAAACGTTGGCAACCACTGGTGTACTTGGTTGTAAAACCGTTCCAACTGGAGAAATGCTACGTATACTCCTCTGTATTTATGTTAATTGTTGGGCTCACTGCAGTCATTCTTCTTAAGACTCAGACTATGTGTAGGTGAGAGACAGAGCAAGCCAGAATAATAATAATAGTATAATAATACATTTGCTGTTCTCTTGTTTACAGAGTGGGCATGCAGCAGGCAAAGCCAGGACTGGTCTCTTGTCTTCATCTACAAGTACTTTATAAACATTTACATAACATTTTAACAATACTGTGAAAATACCAATAACCATTATAATTTTGGCCACTATGATTATGATATTAAATGTTCATACTGCTTCATCTCTACTCACCATGTTGATGGGGTCAACTGGTCCAATGCTGTTGACATAGACAGCTGTTTCAATCACTGTTGGCCTCACTGAAGCAAAACAGAAGAAAATGCACTCACACAGACAGCATCAGCTTACACTGGGTATCTTTGTTATCACATCACAACAATGCTTTGGAATATTCAAGATTCTCCCTAGACAGCTGCAGCAGTTCTCAAATAGTTTCATGCAACCAAGAAGGCAGTAACCCATTTTCAAACTTCTTTTGAACCCTTCTTATTACTGTGAGCAGAACATTTTGTGGTAACAAAGTTAGAACAAAGCACATTTCCAGAGGATGAACTTGACTTGCCTCCGATGTCGGGCCGCAGTTTGTTGTCATAACCCTGTAGCAATTTATTTAGTATCAAAGTCACATCGCTCTCATGGACCTTTGGAGACAAGACCCAGGTCTTATTTATGGGCACATCTTCATAGTCCTCTTCTTCCTGTTTACTGGGCCCAAATGCTGCACTGTGGAGTGAGAAAAAATACTTTAAGGAAAAAAGATTTATAATATTTGCATATAATTAAATGTATGTGTGTGACTGCCACAAAATATACAATAGTGTTTGTGCAGGTATGGAACAGCTTTGTGATCAGATTTGAGCAATGTGTTTTTGGCATAACGAAGGCAAAATGAAGGTACAGTCTGTGTTTACTTTATATTATATTTGTTGCCAACCCTGAAGACTCAGTGTTTCACTGCTGTATTACCTTTCTGGGTGGTAAAACCGCTTAAACAGCATTTAAAGCTCCAGTATTGACTACAACACTGTTTAGAATTTACAGTGTACTTGTCGTGGAAGGAGACAAATCTAAGTCCATATGTCATGAATGCCATTAGATTCTTGCATACAACAGTGTCTTGATTTCTTTCTCAGCCCTGTGTAGGTTGCAGGGTTTTCATCTCACCAGTCCTCCAAGTCTCTTAGGACCAAAGCTAAGCCTGAACTCCCTGGTACTCAGTGGGCCCACAGCCAGGCCCAGAACGTTCTGGACCTTCACCCTCACCTGCCCTGCTTCAAGTCTCCAGAGTGGTCCTACATCTCTCTGATATTTCTATAATAAACAGCTAAAGATTTTGTCTGTTTGTTGTGTTATGCATTTGGGTCTCCTGGTATCTAATCTATGACAGAATGAGGGTACTGCCCAAAGTGAGCGTGTGCACTACACTCACTCCAAGCTGTGCAGGGCTCGCATTGTTACGAGAAAATACAGTAGCCTATATCATTATAAGGAGAAAATAAAGTATGTCACAATAATGAGAAAAATCACGTTTTAAAAGAAAAATATCCTGTTATATTGAGAAAACAAGCATTTAGGTGAGCTGAAAGTTGCCCAAACAATTATGGTATGGCCATCATGTACTATCCAACGTGTACTGTCCTATCCTGTTCACAACTGACATCCGGTACACCAAGGCAAAGCAATCAAGCATGAATGGAATTGATCTGACCTCTGGCTAGAGATGGTTGTGTGGAAGTTCCACTGTCGGACAGGAAAAACACTTTTCCACTGAGCTAGTAGCTGTTTGCAGAATTCTGACTTTTATGTTTGGACAGCTAATGCTACGCAGCTGTTTATAATGTTTGGATATTTGTTGTACACTGAACAGCAAGGATTCAAGATTTGTATTTGCCATTTATGCATAAACAGATAGGAATTTTTGTGCAGCTCTCCTTTGTCAGGTAAGGAGTCAAAAGCCAGAAAGAACACAGTCTTAAAATTAAAAAAAAGTTGCTGGTGACCACATATGACCACAGCCTTCATGGAGTACTTCTTCCACTGTTGCTATCCAGTGTATCTACACATAATTAAGTTAAATATCTCTGATCATATAGTCAGTCCTTTTGTGTCTATGTCAGGAACAAGTTTAGTTTTCATTCACCAGTGTCAGAACTGCGAGGACAGGCCTTGCTCTTTCTGACACTGGGCCCTACATTGTGCCCAAGAATTCATTGGTAGTCTTCAGCTGAACTCCCTGACTTTATTATTGCACATACTCTGAAAATGGCCTTGCAGCTCACTGTGTGGCACTGAACATATTAAACTCTGAGATGAGTTGGGGTGCCAAATCAGGAATGAGTGATTGTGTGTAGTAATTAAACAAAGTTGCACCTGTTTTATTGTATTTATTATGTGGTGTTTCTGTATTCTTCCACAGGTGGAAAAATGACAGTCGTACTATTATAACACCATCTGGGATGAAACAACCATTTGTGTGATTATTCATCATAATTATGTCTTTCATTTTATTCTCACACAGCTCAAATTTCAGGGTAACCTGAGGCATGTGCTTTTGTTGAGACAACTGGAGCCAATCCCAGCTGGCATTGGGCAAAAGGCGGGGTACACCCTGGACAGGTCGCTGGTCCATCGCAGGGCCAACAGGCAGATGAATAACCACACACACACACACACACACATGGGCAATTTAGAGACACCAATCAACCTAAACTGCATGTCTTTGGACAGTGGGAGGAAGTCAAGCGTACCCGGAGAGAACTCACGCAGGCACGGGGAGAACATGCAAAGTCCACACAGAAAGGTTGCAAACCCGAAACCTTCTCGCAATGACGCTACCCGCCACGCCACAGTGCTGCCAAATAATTGTGTTGTGTTATATCATATCATATCATATCATATCATATCATATCATATCGTATCGTATCGTATCGTATCATATCATATCATATCATATCATATCATATCATATCATATCATATCATATCATATCATATCATATCATATCATTATATTATAACAACCACAGACCCCATGAGACCTTCTGGCTCATTTGGCATGGATGTATGTTTGTTTGTTTTGCCGTTGGTTGAAGAACGGAGGTGTCTTTAAAGAACTGTCTTCACTAGGAATCAGTGGGCTTAAATCTGGTAGCCATAGTGAACAGGGATGTTGGAAAGTCTTTTGCAAACATAGTATTGATCTGAAGCTCCATTTCAAAGAATATGTACAGGAATTTGATACTCACCACTTTAAATTTAAGCTTACCAAGCCCTTTTGCTAAAGGTAACCAGGTACTCATCACCATTGCAAACATTTACCAGCTTAGTTCAGAGTTCAAAGTGTTTATTTGTCATACGCACAGTTAGGAAACGTGTTTCCCTGTACAATGAAATTCTTACTTTGCCGTCCACATGAATGCCACAAAATACAAATGAAATATAAAGTAGATAAATAAGTAACACAAAATCTAAGGCACTTTAAGCAGCAAATGCAGCAATATAATAAAAATATATAAGAATATAATAAGAGAATGTATGCTGCATGATTGCTGAAGATCCTAGGCAACAGGCCAAACCTCCTCAGCCTCCTCAGGAAGTACAGCCGCCGTTGGGCCTTCTTGACCAGCTGTGTGGTGTTACGTGTCCAAGTGAGGTCCTCGCTGATGTGGACGCCCAGGTATTTGAAGCTACTCGCCCTCTCCACTTCGAGCCCCCAGATGAACAGTGGCTGATGAGTTCTCCTCTACCTTCCTCATGTCCACTACCATCTCCTTCATCTTGTCTGTGTTGAGGCTGAGATTATTGTCCTTGCACCATGACACCAGACCAGCCACCTCCCTCCTGTAGGCTGCTTCGTCC